AGCTATGTCTCTTCCACCTCCCTAAACTCAAATAAAAGAATATCCCAGTTTTGGTCTTATTCTTGAATTTATATTCAAGTGTCTGTCATCTCTATTAGTAGCAGTATGTTTACTGATTCCTGATTTTCCACCGGGTTTGTAGTTGTAGATTCAGACCTCCCATCCTGCCCTTTTCTAAATCCAAATGTGACTCAAGCTAACAGAAGCACAATTCATTCACTCAACTAACTAAAAGCTGGCAGTGAGTGTCAGGAGCTGGATTAGACCCAGTAGTGACCACAACAGTATACTGGATTCCCAGAAATTGTTGATTCATTCTACCAGAACATGTCAAACCAACACCATATGGGACAAGCAGGATATTTCTCCAGCCTTGAGGATGCTCTAGTTATTTTGAAATCAAATAACTATGGCTGGACAAATATTAAATTATACAAACCCAAGAGCAATGTTAATTCCAAGTCTGATGAAGGACAGAAAATGGTCCTGAGTTTATTCCAGGCTGAAGTCCAGAGATCAAATGATGAGTTTCCAGGGGGAAAGGAGAGAAGTTAACACAGCTACAAATTTACATACATGTTTCATACGAACATGAGCACCTCCTGCCACTTTCTGAGAACTTCTCATCAGAAGCTGATGGGACCTTTCAGTCACAACCACCCTCAAACAAAGCCCTTTACACACACATCAGGACACACAAATAACGCACATTAAAATTCATCACTAGAGAACTGTACTGCATGCGGTATGGTTGACAATTTACACACTCCTTCAAAACTATGCTGCAGAGCAAGGGCATTTAAAATAAGTTAGAAAATCCAACCACAACAGAAGTCTATGCTTCAACTCAAAACCTGATTTAGAGTCAAGGAAAGGGCTCCTGTATTAAACACATCTACAGAAGCACAAAGAAAATAATCCTGTTATTTCACCCTTCTGGCTTTTCCAGGGCCCAGGATCAAAAGTCACTAGAAAACACAGCCAGCTAGGATCTGACACCACACAGGGGAGAAGTAAGGGCAGGGCAGGCTTCTCTCCACTTCATTTGCTCTCACAAGCTCACATCCATTATGTATAACTGAGAAAATTTCAGGAAAAGGTATAGTTATCATGTTTCCAGTGATTTACTATCTATCTCTCTGCAAGGCTATTCATAGGCTTGTCTTTGTAGACTTGAAAAAAAGATGAGTTTAAAAACCAAGGTAGGGAGTGGGGAGAGAAATCTCTGTGCAACTAAGGACCACCTCAGCAGTGAAGATCTGTCTTACCCCCAACCCCAGGAGGCAATTAGTTCAATCACTACTCAGGCTTTATGAAAAGCTCCTGCTGTTTAACCTGAAAAAGAAATCCCATAATTGCCACTCCTCTCAAGACATGTCCCAGACTCTTTGATGACAATTGCTAAGTTACGTTTCCAGACATTTCCTCTGGAAGCACATCATTTGGGGAAGGCCTGGGGGAAGGAGGGTACTGAAGTGGGAAAAGGGAAGAATGAAGAGGAGGGGAAAAGTTGCACTCCTCATTCAGTCATTAACTTATTAAATAAGGAGTTTCAGTAGCATAACAAATTAATGTTGTGCTTACCTGTATATTAATGGTGCTTGCTTTTGATGGTAGTATTAAATCAAAGCCTTTAGGCAAGCATTCTTTCCAATTCATGTCAAAGCAAAGAATCCTACTGCCAGAGTTTGAACTGTGTTCCTTTCAAATATGTGGCAGTTTGGCTGGGTTATGAGGCTCAGAATGTTGCAGTTATAAAAGATCAGACAATTATGTAAAGATGCAGTCAACACATGATGTGATCTGTGTCAATTAGTTGTAAGGGGATTAATAAGAGATTCTATACCCTTACTCAGATTACAGGATTGATCTAATATAAGGATAATTTTTTGGGGCTATGGCTGGTATCATTTTTTATCTTGAAGATCCCTTTGCTGAGAACCTCCTAGACCCAGAAGATGACTGGTGCTAAGACACAGGGAGATCTTTATGTAAGGTCAGGCCCACAGATGTTGAAAGGAGTCTAGGACTTTCCCCAAGATGCAGAAGAAAGGGAAAGTCTTCTTCTAGAGCTGACAGCCTAGATTTAAGCTTCCATTCTCATCAACTGTGAGAGTAAATTTATGGTTGTTAAAGCCATCCACTTATGGTATTTCTGTTAGAACAGCCTAGAAAAATAACATACTCACCTATGGAATATAAAAGTCATGATTTTCTGATCTTTTGAAGCCAGTCTTAGGACATTTCTATGTGAAATTTCTCTAGATTTGCATTATCAGAATCTAATAAAATGCTATTCAACCAGCCAATTGCAGGGGTCAAAAGTAATGGTCACCCCAAAGGCACCTTTTGCTGATAGTTTACTGAAGATTTCAAAGTAACCGAATAGCAATGATTTGTAAACTAAACATGTGGAAAATTTCTCAAGACTACAAGCATCTTTAGAAATAGGTTTACCTTACAGTTATATATGGATTCTATGAATAATTACTGAATATCTTATAGTGTGTTTGAAAGTATTCATCAGCACTTAAGAATACTGAAACTCAAGTATTTAAGTTATCCTTAAAAAGCTCAGGTTTTCTATTAGAAAGGAAAAACACAGGCAAAAATAAATAAGGTTTCATCAATATGCATGTTAACTCGAAGCAGGAGTGGCATTCACTCCCTAAATAACTTGCCTCCGGAAACTCTATGAACTTTGATAAATGCCTATAGTTATAGAGGGGCGTCAGGCCTTTTGTTCATAGTGTCACTATGAGTAGTGCTAGACTCAAAGGCAATCAACAACAACACAGAATAATTAAAGTGATAAATGATGGGAAATATATCATATATGAAGAAAACAGAAAGTGGCTTGAAATTTCTGGTTATACCTAATAATTCTAGTTAAATATCCAGATATTGGTTATATGCATTAACTGCCAATGTATTCCTTAGGTCTAGGTGTGTTGGTTCTTCAAAGTACCATGTGGTAGTTGCGGGACGCCATCAAGTTGGCCCTGACTCAACCATGACCTAACAACACTTTTAAAACATAAACTCAACTCATTGCCATGGGTCAGAACAAACTCAAAGCTTCCCTCCATTGGTTTTTGTGAGGCTGTAAATCACATGGGAGGGGACTACCTATCTTTCACTTACAGGGCAGCTGGCAGTGAAATGGAAATGCTTACAAAAGGAGAAATGTCAAAACTCAGAAAAAAATGTTCTTTATAAAGAACATTGCTGGAGCTCTGGTGACCTAGCAGCAAGACACAGTGCTGCAACCGTGAAGGCACATGTTTCGAGGCCACCAGCTGCCCCACGAGAGAATGATGGACAATCTCCTTCCGAGCGATTAACTGCCTCTGAAAACCTGACGGAGAGGCAGCTATTGGTCAGTCCCAATGCTACTGTACACAGTAACCACAACAGCATTGTTTATATACATCATTTAAGTGACACATTTTAGGGTGCACTACACTTCGGGAGGGAAATGTCATTTAAATGTTAGTTAGCATGCACTGTACTTAAGAAGGGATATCTGATGGCTTAGTAGTGAGGAGTTGTGTGGCCAGTTCCAAGGGATGTGGAACAAATCTACCAGCTGCTCCTTGACAGAAAGAAAGATGGACAATCTCTTCTTGTAAAATTTAATACCTGTGAAAACTTGCTAGAAGGCCAGCTATGCGTCAGTTCTGACTCAAAGGTACATAACAACTACACTCAGAAAAGGGAGTGCTAGGCAATCTCCTTCTGTGGTCATAAGGAGAAAGAGACCAGCAGTCTCTCCCTGTACAACTGACTGCTCTGAAAGCCCGCTGGAAGATTCTCTACAGGTCGGTTCCAACTCCAGGGTACTGAACAAGGGTGGCCAAGTTCTCAAGTTGAGATGCTAACCGCAAAGGCTATCCCTCTCAGGTGGTTTGAATCCACCAGCATCACCAACAGAGAAAGATGGGCAATCTCCTCCTGGGATTTACTACCTCAGAAATGTAAGAGTGTCAGCTTTGAGTCAGTTCAGACCTCAAGCCAAGTCAAATCTCAAGGGATAACATACGTAGAAATCTACGATTTCAATGTAACATCGTTGGTGGGGGGACATCATTCACCTCCCCACAGTTTTCAATGTATTTTCGCAGGTAACAACGCTCCACTTAATTTTCACACTGATTCTTTGCCACGTGTAAAAGAGTTGCTATTATCTCAATTTTACCACAGAATAAAGCTTGAGAAGACAAGAGTTATGCAGGCTAATTAATTACAGCCATGAAACTAAAAATGGCTAAGACATCAAGCAGCCTGGTCTTCCGACTTTAGTCCAGCACTTTCCACTAGGGATTCAGAAGGAAAATTACTGCTAGATAGTTCATACAATTGACCTTGGATCCTACAACCATGATGACAAAATACCCCAGGAACAATGGGGAGTTTTGTTAGCAATAAAACCTCTATGGCCTAGAATTCAGAGTGGGGCAAAGAATCATCAACGCTTTTCACTTGATGTTGCTATTGATGGGATTTCTTCCTGGACAGCTGCTAGGACATTCCTAAGGAAGGCAAGCAAAAAGGTGCTTTCTAAAGAGCTCTAGTAAGTCTTATAAACTAGAATCAGCTCAGCAAAGTCAGGTCCCAAATGAGTTAAAATACTGCTGCAATACCAATACCAATCTAAGACCAAGACGTTTTGGAATGGTCATTTTCCCCTGTTAAAAAATCCTCCATCCTCCGGGGGGGGGGGGGATGTTATTGTGGGTGGAGGAATTGTATTTCTGAAGACTGCACTGTTTACGAATCTATTTCCCCAATAAGCAAGAACAACACACGTGAAAGTGACTTGTTCCGCAGGGAGAGTGAGAGCGCACTGTGGTGATGAGCTCGTCCAGACGCCTGCAGCGGAGCGCGTGCGGAGAAGCGGTAGAAAAGCCTGCCCGTCTCCGCGTGCTGACCATGTTCAGCGAGTCTGCAGGTGGCCGCCGCCTCCCGCCCTCCCCGGGTGCCTTGCCGGCCTGACCTACCAGCGAGAGCACTTTGTAGGTGTTAGGGTCCTTCACAGTGCGGGCGCGCGCCGCCTTCTCCAGCGGCTCCTCTCCCAGGTCCATCGGGGCTAGCAAGGACGC